CTGGGTCTTTTGTATGCATTCACTTCTTCCAGCAGGAGATTTGTAACAGAGGAAGCAGGTGTAACGTAGTGATTATAAAGATATTGTTGGGGGGAAAAAAAAGGGTGAATTTTCAGTGCTTTGCTCCTCTGAGCCTGCCAGGGCTTCCTTTTCAGCTGACTCCATCACCTTTTAGCAAGGTGTTGTGTTTTTGTCCAAGTCAGTCAGTCAGTCAGTCAATTGCGCGTAGAAAAAAAGGTTGCTGGGTAAATCTGAAACCTCGATAACACATTCCTCCATTTGTATATATTGTATGGCTTACCAATGTATTCATTCCTTTGGCTTTCAACATTTCACAACTTTCCATAGGTCAGCCCGAGCAACAAGAACAGGTCCTGGTAGATGGAAAGATTTCTGCTCTCAGACACTCATGTTCACATCACTTTGCCTGTTGATTTCCTGATTTTTATTTATTTTATTTTTTTATTTTTCTTTTATTTTTAATCAGCAACATCAAATGGGTCTTTGGAGGGCCTGGATAACCAGGAGGGAGGGGTGTGCCAGACAAAAACCATGAAGATCCTCATGAAAGTTGGACAAGGTAAAGACCATCTGCTGTTTCATGAAATCACTTTGATCAGTCTCGGTGTCCTTTTAGTTTTCAGGCTTCTTTTAGCAGTGTAGAGCAGAGAGCCAACCGAGTCTAGTGTGGTCATTCGTCCCTTATAGTCTGAAAGCAAAGCCTATTTTCTCTTCCTTGGCTACTGACAGATTTCTACACGAGGAGGGTTAGTGTAATAAGATCTCTTCATTGGAGAGATCCCTAGAAGGAAAGGTCACCTGGGAGTAGTGTGTTTCAGTCATTTTTATTTTTACTTTAAAAACAAAAGCCACAACTCTGCTGTTCAAAATTATTTAAAATACATGAAAGGAGGGAATCTAATATTTCTATAGTTTGCTTGTTATGAATTCTGATTACAGAGAGGTTTTTGTTCATTGTCTCTTTTCACATATAGATAACCTGTTGTGCAGGAAGAAAGAAGTATTCTTCTAAGTAGAAGTTGGTTCAGTAGTCAATCAACTTCCTCAGTTAAACTGAAATGTCATCTGCAAAGCTTTTCTTGCCAATTACAGGAGTCCCTATAGTTTCTGCAGATGGCCTCACAATTTAAACCTCTGAAATAATAACTAATATAACCATTTTGCTTTAAAAGGAAATTTACGTGCTTATATCTCCCAGACATTTGCATAAAGATTCTTCTGTTCAAAGCCATTCGCGTCTCACGAGGTACCTAGAGCCGGCTGATAAGGCTTTGTACCATCAAGCGCCGAAGCTGCATGAGCCATCTTTCTCTCCCCCAGATCCCAACTCAGCGGGGCTGCCCCGGCACACGGATCCCACCAAGCGCCCCGAGCAGGAAGCTGGCACCAACGGGAAGAGTTCCACCACCAGCCCCTTTGTGAAGGACCACTCAGGTAGGTGCAGCGGGGCTCGCGCCTGGGACGGGGCTCTGGTGGAGTCTCCTCCTTTGTCCCCACACGCATTTTATTTTACCATTGAGGTGCCAGAAAAACAAACGCTTTCATACTGAGATGAAGCAAAAGCCAGTTCTGATGCTCCAGTGGATGGTGTCGGGGAGCTGCAAGTTTTGGCAATGGCTGCTCTCTCTCCTTTTCCACTCTGCAGTAGAAGTTAATTACATCTTGTGAGAATATCACTCATTTACAGGAAAGTTTTTGGATAGGGCATTCGCTAAGCAGCTTTACGATAGTAAATGCTGCCTTACATTTAGTACTCTGGCAGATGAACGAGTCTTTCTGTCTTTCTCTTCCCGTATAATACATTATCAAGTGGTTCTCGACAACCATTTATAAAGTTTATTTTCAAGGCATCTATAATTAATGTCCTGATCTTTTAACTGACCATATAAAGTCTACACATGAATGGCTGGTCTTTCACTAAATTTAAAGATTTTTTTTTTTTTTTTTAATAATTATCTAAACAAGATAAACAGATGGTTCCAAACAAGTATCTTCAGGATGCATTTCAGACATTAGGTGAACAAGAAAAAAACTGTTAAGACCCAAGGTCTCCGGAAGAAAGTTCAGTGAATTGGGAATGCTACAAAGCAAAACTTGCTGACGGTTGATTCTGGGGTTCTCGAAAATGGCTGCAAGTTTTCCTTGCTAGCTCTGTCATTAGTTGCTGGGCTAATGAATCTTTGATAGGATGGTCACTAGGCAGGCTTCAGCCATTTCCTATGGAGGTTCCAGTAGGAAAAGTTCACAGTTACGTGGACATAGCATCTGCGGCATTCTTCCACCTGTGAGTGAGCATCCAGAGAGGGGAGTCGGTTCAAATTTTGAAGTGAGAAAGTGTCAAGTGAGCGTTCGTTTAATTTTTGTGACAAATAATATGACAGCGTGATGGCATCAAATATTCAACAGGCTGTTCAGCATGCGAGCTTTTCCTGACTACCAAAAGCACGGTGGTGTTTTCTTTTGAGTAAATGTAAGCTAATACAAACAGATACATGCCATAGCCATTTTGCTGAACTCCCACACTGCCTCAAGCTCCTTTGCTTCATGTGCAAGCAAGAGGAGTCCACGTAAAGAGGCACTAAGACAGTTTAACTTGTCAATGTGCGAAAGATAAAATACAGAACAGTGTGACACTGAACAGTACCAGTTGTCCTGAGAATTGTCATTTCCCCGTGTTATTTTCCCCTCGCAGTCCTATCCCACCCCTCTCTGCTGCCCGCTGGGGCTGGCCAGCATCTGTTAAAAGATGCGGTGTGCATCAAAGGCTGCCGTGTCAGTGCCAGTCCTCGCCGCTGATGGATGATGATGTATGAAACAGGGTGGTTTGGAAGCAGCACAAAAGTGAGACCAACAGACACAAAGTCTTGTTTAATATTGATTGCTGACTTCGGCTGTTTGCATTTAGCTGTCTAACAGGGTAATTGGTTTGTCAAAGTTCAGCTGTCAGTTAATTCTTCCAGTCTTGCTTACTCTACACATTTTTAAGCAGCGTAAACGGGTCGCAGGATGGCAATAACTTTTGTCTGTTGTATTTCCGTTCTTTCCAGGATCTAGCACAGATGGCAGTAAGGCTGGGCATTCCAGTATACTGGGTTCAGAGGTGGCCTTATTTGCAGGGATTGCATCAGGGTGCATCATTTTCATCGTCATCATCATCACTTTGGTGGTTCTTTTGTTGAAGTACCGGAGAAGACACAGGAAGCATTCCCCGCAACACACGACAACTCTCTCACTTAGTACGTTAGCCACCCCGAAACGCAGTGGCAACAACAATGGTTCTGAGCCCAGTGACATTATCATTCCTCTAAGGACTGCAGACAGTGTCTTTTGCCCCCACTATGAAAAGGTCAGCGGCGACTATGGACATCCGGTGTACATAGTTCAAGAGATGCCTCCTCAGAGTCCGGCAAACATTTATTACAAGGTCTGAGAAACACACAACCAACTCTGTGGTACAGTTGAGTTGTAGAGGAAACTCACTGGTCAAATGCTTTCTGTTGGGGTTTGTGATGACACCTTGTGCACTAGCATTGACTCAAGCACAGGGGGGGAGAAGGCGACAGCTCTTTCTCTGGGAGCCGACGCAAGCTGGACAGCTTACCTAGTCTGTAGAATTCCTATCTCAGTGAATAAATATTCACTAAAAGCTGGAAGACTTTTATGTAGAAGATGCCCATTCTGATTGCTGTACTCTTGTTACATTCATCATCCTCAAAGCCATGTGCTGCGGGCGTTCAGGCATGTACAAAAGCCAAGGGAAGATGGAGTGATCCGTGGATGTTAATAGCTCTAGGCATCCTGGGAAGGTGCTCTAGGATATATCAAGCTTGAAATGCAATCTTCTGACTTTTGTGTGTCTCTCTCAGTGCATACTGGATTTGTCACACAGACCTTGGTGTCTAAGTAAGACTTGTTAAAGTTCTCTTGCTTTTAGTCCGTCACTGTTTCATTTGTTTCTGTTATCCGGGGCCCTGCCATCCTTCACATAAGATTTCCTTTCACTCCACCTCCTGAATCACTAATGGAACATTAATGTTTGGAGATCCATGCTGCATCCATCGCTACAGCAGCCTCACTTGAATGGGTAATGCATTTATAGAAATTGTGTTTGATAGTAAGGAGCCTTCCAGCCAAAAAGTTAGGCTGTCAACAAAGTCAAGAGCAGGACTGGGTGGTGGAGGGAAGGGCTGACTGCAGTTGCAATTGAATACTGCTGCCTCAAAAATAGAAGCTGGGAAGAAAAAAAGAAAAAAAAAAAATTAGGTAGCGCAGCACTTTGGTATGCTAAGTTTTAAGAGGCAAGTAGGAGGCACGATAACACGCAGTGGATTAGGGCTGCATTTGAAGGAATTCATGGTTATCAAATACCAGTGTGCAGAAAAAAATAGTACCTTCAATACAATAGAACAAAGGGGTATTGTTAGTGAGTGAACAAGCTTGGAGAGGACAAGACAATAGCAGGCCGCTGAGGATATATTAGGGCAGGGCTGTTGTGGTACTGGCAATAAAATATACAGCTTTGAAGCTGTAGTGAAAATGTAGTCTGCTTTGGATGACTTGTGAGCAGACTCAGCTGCTATACTATCACATTATACTAAACACAGGGAAAGCATTTAAGAAAATAGCAGAGAGCCAAATCTGACCAAGATGATTATAAGCCAATGGGTCAAATGAGCTGTAATTCTATCACTGGTAAAGTTGGGGGGGCGGGAAGAAAAACCTTTCTCATCTCTTAAGACAGAATATCTTTCTGACTGAGCCTTTTGACACTTTGGTTTATCGTAGTGCTGTCCCTGCACAGTGAGCGTCGGTACTGTGACTGACACAGCCGTTCATTGGTGCTCTGTTGCAAAGTTAAAGCACATATGGCAAACCTCTTGCAGTCTGTAAGAATAAAATAAATTATGACACTGAGATGGAGAAGGAAGATATGTCTTATTTATAATAGGTGTATAGAACACAAGGGATATAAAGTAAGAGTTTTGCTTTCGTTCATTCTTTCCTACTTTTTTGTTTTGGTTTGTTTTTTTACTAATATATATTTTGAGATTGCACAGAATCTACACCAGAAGATGTGAAATTCATTTGCGGCAATTAAATAGTCTTAACTTGTCATCATTTTACACATATGTATGTGTGTGTGTATATGTGTATGTACACACGTATATATGTTTATATATGCATATATATACACACATTTTAAAAAAAAAGAAACTGCTTCTGGGAAAAACATCAGCCATCCAAAAATAAGAATGGGAGCGTATTAAAAAAAAAAAAAAAATCCAAAGCATCTCGTAAGAGAAAACTGGGAAATACAAGGCCCAAGATATGAGGAAATCAGTGTTACTGCATCACGTATTTAACAATGACAAGGTGTGCCGGCATTTATTTTCTGTGTTGTGTTTTCCCTTGCCTTACGGGCTGATGTGTTCTGTAGATTTCGTTGAGGTTCGTAGATGGGGGTTTTCAGGTTAAAGTTTTCTCTTTAGCATGGCTAGTCCCCTAAAGCTCCCACCCTGGGGAGGAAATAAAAAAAACTCTACTTTTATGTGTGCTATGCAAATAGACATTTCTAACATAGTCATGTTACTATGGTAACACTTTGCTTTCTGATTTGGAAAGAAAATGTAGCAACAGCATTTTGGGGTTCTCAGACCTCCAGTGAGCACCTGCAAGAAAAAAAAAAAAAAAAGAAAAAAAAAATCTGTCACAGAAATGATCACTCTCTCTCTTTCCTGAACCTGAAAATGATGTTGGGATGTTGGTCCAAAAGAGAGAAACAAAACAAAAAAAATCCCAACCCATGGTTCTGTGGAAGGTTACCATGGTGACTAACTACAGTACATATGTAATTCTTTTCAACAACCCTTCCTTTCTGTGAATCCATCCATACAAGGTTCTCTTGTAAGTCATTAAGATTTTATTTCGGGGGAAGGGGAGGAAGGGGAAAGATGGGTTTACTGATCCTGATTTTTATTAAATCAGATCTACGCTTCATCAGTTGGCTACATTCTAGTTATGTACTAAACTGTGAAAAAAAATTCAGACGAATTGCTCAAGAGCAACCTGCAACCAATTGAAAAAAAAAAATGTACTGTGCGTCTGTTTTGTGTCTGGTGCAGAATTATGACAATCTACCAACTGTTCCTTTATTTGACGTTGGTCCAGCTTTGAAAAGTTACTGTAAATGCCTTGCTTGTATGATCATCCCTAGTCACCCGACTTGGAATTTGCACCATCATGTCTAAGTGAAGATGCTGTAAATAGGTTCAGATTTACTGTATATGGATTTGGGGTGTTACAGTAGCCTTATTCACCTTTTTAAATAATAAAAAAAAAACCCACGTGAAAACAAGACAAAAATGGCTTTTCTTAACCAGATTGTGTATATAGAGCAATGTTGGTTTTTTATAAAGTCTGAGCAAGATGTTTTGTATAAAATTTGAATTTTGCAATGTATTTAGCTACAGCTTGTTTAAAGGCAGTGTCATTCCCCTTTGCACTGTAATGAGGAAAAAATGGTATAAAAGGTTGCCAAATTGCCGCATATTTGTGCTGAAATTGTGTACCATGAATATTTATTTAAGAATTTCTTTGTCCAGTTTGTAAGTAACACAGTATTATGCTTGAGTTATAAATAATTTCTTCTTTCTGGTTTTTTTTTTTTTGCTTTTTTTTGTTTGTTTTGTTTTGTTTGTTTGTTTGTTTTGTTCCATTTTAAAATTAGCCGGTCATAAGTTTGAAATCTGCTTTAGTTCCACATTGCAATTAGTTCCCAGAAAATGGAAATTATGAAAATCACATTCCACGTCTGTTTCAAACTGAATTTGTTCTTAAAAAAATAAAATATTTTTTTCCTATGGAACCTTGCCTTCTAAGTATTTTCTTCTTTTGTTTTGCGATTTTTTTTCTTTTTTAAAAGATAAATAAAGCCACCAAGACTCCCTCCCTCCCTCCTTCTCTCTCTCTCCTCTCCCCCATCTCTCCACCCTGATTGCTAGTGGTTTATAGGAAAGCAAGCTCCTTCTAATACACTGACTTCTGTTAACTTACTTCTTTCCCAGACTTTCTCTTACGTATATCAGCAGATTTTAAAAAACACATGGGGGTCTTACGCCCTTGGAAGTCAGTGAGCTTCAGTCAGGTGCGGTATCCAGGTTGCCTGGATGATCTGGGAGGTGAGATTATAACCACACAGGTAATTCCCAGACATTACGGAGCGGATTTATACTGTAGGCAAGGTCAAAGGAAAGAATATACCTGGAGCCTTCTGGGCACTGTTGCTGTCACTGCTGCTCCTCAAGAGGGGGAGCGGCAAGCCTGGGGTGGCAGGGCTGAGCAGGAAGGGACAGGAGCTGGAAGATGTTGGGAGAATGGCAAAGGATTAGAAATGCTGCAGAGTCAAAACATCTACGCATGGTTCTTTCAGTGGGGCCGCGCATCGTCCTGTCCCTGCTTTACTGCGCCTTAAGTTGAGGGAGACGGGGGCCAACATGTGCAAGACTTAACACAAGATTTGTGGTTGCGCTGCTCTGATTTTCACTAGGATAACCGATTCTCTCATTTAATAAATGATGCTTTATGTTTTGACGAAGCCCAGTCACTTTGAAGCACCTTTCAGTTTGTTCGCAGTGCGTAAATGGTGTGCTCATCCGTGGAGCAACAGGTGGGAAGGTCTAGAGAGAGGAGAGATGCATTTGTCACTTTTAACAACAGATGCCAATTTGTCACAGAGTTTTCACTGAAGAAAGGCAGCTAGTTATTCCTAGTATGGGTCACGCAATGCCCATTTGTCAAGTTATTTTTTCTTTTCTGAATAATCAGGGGAAAATTGACTACTGCAAAGGGAGTGTATGTGTTGCAATGGCACAAGTGTTCCGAAACGGGGCTTACAGAAAGCCCGAGAGACTGCTGAGCGGTTGGACTAGCACGGCTTCTTGCTGACCGAACTCATTCTGGACAGGTCCGGCTTACGGAATCTGTGCTGGAAGTTGATCTCAGAGGGGAAGGTCACACAGTGGCACTTCGGTTCTCCTCCTGACTCTGCTACAGATGTCCTTGGGGGAGTTACTGGGTCCAGCAGAAGGGGTAAGTGCCCACCGTGGAGCCTGTGAGCACCCTCTGGCTTGTCAGTAAATCACTCGGGCCGAATCCTGCGTTCACGGCTGTATAAGTCACTTCAGAGGAGGTAGCCTTGCCTACTCGGAGGCACACGCACGCTTGGCTGGATTGAGACGTCACCCCCTGCTTTGTGCTTGCACGCAGGGGATCCCGCTTGCGCGTCTCAGCGGGCTGCCGTGAGGGTCCTCACGCCGCTAATGGCTGCGAGGTGCTCAGGTCCGGTCTGTGCTAAAAGCTTGTCTGATGCCGTCATCTGTGAGGGCTGTGACTCCAGCTTAGTTAAGGCTAAGGCTATTGTTTTTATTTTAGGCGTTGGTAAACACTGGGAGATGGCGATAAG